AAGTAAACTCAAACATATTATCTCAAGTAAATTTAGAGATAGATTTTCTGAGGTTTCTCATGTGTCTGAAATTTCCTGATTGGAATGTCTTCCTTATTTAAAGTTGGGAATTTTGTGAAAATCTATCATTGTTGGCTGTATATCAGAATAACAATCAGCAACTGATTGGTAAATCTGAATACATATATATATATATATATATATACATATATATAACATTTTTTATTAGTGAAACACCATGAGATACATTTGTAGACTTACAAACTTTCATGCTTGGGTTTCAGTTATACAATGATCTAGTACTCATCCCTCCACCAGTGTCCATTCTCCACCACCAGTGATCCTAGTATCCCTCCCACCCCCACACCCCATTCCCCCACCCCACCCGGGCTCTGTGGCAGGGCATTCCCTTTTGCTCAGTCTTTCCTTTAGGGTGTTGTAGTTTGCAATAGAGGTTTTGAGTGACCATAGTTTTCCGTCTATAGTCCATTTTCAGCATGCATCTCGCATCCTTTGGAGCGAATCCTCCAAACATCCTTTACTTGGTGTCCCCTTCTCTATCTGAGCTGCCTTTTCCCCCAGCATGTAGGCCAGCTTCCAAGCCCTGGAGCAGACCTCCTGGTACTTTATCTCAATTATTCTTGGGTGTTCGACTCCCATTCTGAATACATATATATTTTAAAAGTTGGTTTTTCTAGTACTACTCAACTTACCTTTATATATGTACAAGAAAATCATTCTTTCCGATTTTATCAGTTCTCTTATGTGTCAGTTATAAGTGTATGACCTCTAACTTGTTAGAGAATTTTCATATTTTCATTTTTAGTCCAAAAGACACAATGTCATTGTTATAAAATATTTATGATGAGTACTGTCTGTGTTTTATACATTAAAAATATCCCTTCTCTCTAGTAAACCAAACTATTTCTGCATGTTTTTCATCATCAGTTTATTTATTTACTTAGTAATATTCAGGATAAAATATGTTCTAAATTTTTTATATTTACATTTTAAAATCTTAGTTTAACACCAAGAAGTTTGTAAATTCTGTATCTAGAAACAAATCGGTATCTGAGATTACTATTGATATGGCTATAATATAGTATACAAAAGCCATGCATGTATAAAGTAAAATATAACTGTGAATCATTTCATACATACATAATAATAATCATTTTCAGTTCATATGTGTAAAATATTAAAAACCCTGTGGTGAAGCTGGAGAGATAATACAATGGGTAGGAACTTGCATTGCACGTGGCCAACCTGGGTTTGGGCCCGGGTATTTCATATGGCACTCTGAGGACTGCTAGTAATGACTCCAGAGTGCAGCTCTGAGAGTTACCCCTGAGAATTTCTGGGTATAGCACTCCAAATAAAAACAAAATAGAAAACAAAATCAAAAAGTAATCCTTATGGTTCTTTGCATTTTGGTGGTAGTGATGACACAATAAGCTTGTACACAAAAAGCATAAACATTAGACAATTAAAACCATGTTACTTCAACTACAATAATTTTATTTTAATTAAAGGACTTGAGGCTGGAGAGATAATAGTACAAGGGCAAGGAACTTGCCTTTCATGAAACGGATCCGCATTCAATCTCCGGCAGTTCATATGTCCCCCAAGCACATAACAGAGGAATACCTGAACACAGAACCAGGAATAATTCCTGAACATAACTGGGGTGTGACCAAAACTCCCTCATTACTCCAAAGGTTAAATTTTAGAGGTTATATTGAGCAGTGAAATATGTAAAACTTTTACTTGTGTTTGATGTATGAATATTATATATGAACTAAATGATTAATAAACTCTACATTATTATCAAGATTATGACGAGATAATTTACCTGAAAACGATGTTATGTAACTGAGTCAAAAATTTAGTATACCGTTCTACTATAGATAATCCAATTATTGAATTAAATGACTTCACTCTGGTTTCCTATATATTTCTTTGCTTTCTGTTGTGATATCCCCTTTCTCATTTCTGATTCAGTTTATTAGTTTTCTCTCTCTCTCTTTCTTTGTGAGTCTTGTTAGTGGGTTTATCGATCTTGTTTATTTTCTTGAAGAACCAACTCTTGGTTTTATTGATCTTTCGGATTGTTTTTTGGGTTTCCAGGTCATTGATTTCTGCTCTAAGTTTTATGGTCTCTTTCCTTCTGCCCCTTTGGGCTCCTTTTGTTGGTCCTTTTCTAAGATCTTGAGCTATGAAGTCAAGTATTTTTAGGTGGGCCCTTTATTCCTTCCTGAGAAATGCTTGCAGAGCTATAAATTTTCCCCTTAACATGACTTTAGCTGAGTCCCATAGGTTCTGGTAGCTCGTGTCTTCATTCTCATTTGTTTTCAGGTATCTTTTGATTTTGTCCTTGACATACTTCCTGATCCACTCGTTGTTCAACATTGAGTTGTTTAATTTCCAGGTTTTTGATTTGGTTTTTTCTATCTGTGTGTGATTCGCTTCTATTTTCAGTGGATCGTGATCTGAAAAAATTGTTAGTATTATTTCTATCTCCCTGATTCTATTGAGGTATGTTTTGTGGCCTAGTGCATGGTCTATTTTGGAAAATGTTCCATGTGCACTGGAGAAGAATGTGTATTCTTTCTTTTTGGAGGTGTAAAGCCCTGAATAAGTCTATAAGCCCTCTCTCTTCTATTACTTCCTTAAAGCCAATGTTTCCTTGATGAGTTTTGTTCTTGTCAATCTAATCCAGAGGTTATAAGGCAATGTTGAAGTATCCAGCTACTATTGTGTTGCTATCAATGTCCTCCTTAAAATCTGTTAGCAGTTGTTTTAAATAATTAGCTGTTCCCTCATTAGGTGTGGATACATTTAAGAGTGTGATTTCTTCCTGTTGTATGTATCCCTTGATGAAGAGAAAATGGCCTTTACTGTCCCTTCTAATATTTTTCAACCTAAAGTGTATGTTGTCAGATATTAGTATGGCCACCTCAGGTTTTTTGAGGGAGCTGTTTGCTTGCAGGATTGTTTTTCCATCCTTTAAATTTGAGTCTGTGTTTGCTCTGACTGTTCAGATGAGTTTCTTGAAGGCAGCAAAATGTTGGGTTCTGTCTATGAAACCATTTTGCCACTCTGTCTCTTAGTTGGTGAATTTAGTCCATTGAGAGAGATTATTGTTTTGCAGTTTTGTGTCATCTTTCTCTAAGGGTTTGTTGTGCTTGTAGGGTTTGTCTTGTCTTATAGTAGACCCTTTCATACTTCTATTAGGTTTGTTTTTGAGTCTATGAAGTTCCTGAGCTGTTTTTTATCCAGAAAATAGTGCACCGTTCCTTTGAGTTTGAGTGAGAGTTTAGCAGATGGAGTATTCTTGGTGAAGCGTTCATTTCAATGAGTTCTTTTTATTTTATTTTATTTTATTTTTTTAACTATATCCCACAATTGGGTTTGGAGCGATAGCACAGCGGTAGGGCGTTTGCCTTGCATGCAGCCAACATGGCCGACCCGAGTTCGATTCCTCCGCCCCTCTCAGAGAGCCTGGCAAGCTACTGAGAGTACCTCGCTCTCACGGCAAAGCCTGGCAAACTCCCCGTGACGTATTCGATATGCCAAACACAGTAACAAGTCTCACGATGGAGATGTTACTGGGCCCGCTCAAGCAAATCAATGAATAACGGGAGGACCGTGAGTGTGACCGTGATCCCACCATTACCTCCGGGCTTGGAGGGTTTCCTCTGTTAGGTCTGCTTTGAATCTAAGGGGTGCTCCTTTGTATGTGATTTCCTTCTTTGACTTTGCTGCTTGCCATATTGTGTCTCTATTCATAAAGGTAAAGGTAAAGGTAAAGGTAAAGGTAAAGGCCCTCCCATTGATCGTCGATTTGCTCGAGTGGGCCCAGTAACGTCTCCATTGGAGACTTTGTTGTTACTGTGTTTGGCATATCGAATACTCTCAGTAGCTTGCCGGGCTCTCCGAGAGGGGTGGAGGAATCGAACTCGGGTCGGCCATGCTGGCCGCTTGTAAGGCAAACGCCCTACCGCTGTGCTATCGCTCCAGCCCTGTCTCTATCCATAGCATCCATTATTCTAACTATGATATGTCTTGGAGTGTTTTTGTTCGGGTCTCTTTTAGCTGGAACCCTTCGGGCTCCTTGAATCCAATGATTAGTAGTCCAATTAGTAGTCCAATGATTCTAATGTTGTTCCTCTTGGAATTATCTCCTAGGACGCTGATTTGCTGTAGAGCTATTTTGAGGTCTCTTGCCATTGTTTGTTGTTGCCTGCAGGCTTCCTGCAGCTGATCCTCCAGCTCACTGATTCTGTCTTCAGCTGTAGACATTCTTCTGTTGTCTACTGTTGAGGGCACACAACAAACAACAAACACTGTCCTCCCATTGTTCATCGATTTTCTCTAGCGGGCCCAGTAATGTCTCCATTTTGAGAATTGTTGTTACTGTGTTTGGCATATTGAATACGTCACAGGTAGCTTGCAGGTCTTACCGTGTGGGCGAACTAATCTCAGTAGCTTGCCGGCTCTCTGAAAGGGGCAGAGGAATCGAACTCTGCTTGGCCAAGCTGGCTATGCGCAAGGCACACACCCTACTGCCCTGCTATCGCTCCAGCCCACACTGAGTTTTTTATTTCATATACTGAATCCTTTATTCGTGACACTTCCATACATAGCTTTTCAATTTCAGCTCTCATTTCTTCCTGTAACTTCTCAATTGTCTGATCCATTGTTTCCTTCATGTCCTCCTTTTATTTATTGGCTTACTGTGTCACTGTTTCTCTGAGTTCATCGAACATCTTCATTACTTCATATCTGAATTCTTTATCAAAGAGGTCCCTTAGGTGAGTAATACCTAATGAGTCTTCTGGATTCTTTTCATCATCCTCTCCTTGTGGTGGGGATTTGTGCTGTTTCTTCATGTTGGTGTGGTGGTATGGAGACTGAGAGTTACACGAGATTGCTGAGTATGATTAAGTTACCTGTGGTTGTGCGAGCGGCCACCAGCCCAGAATTAGGCCACCTCCACTTAAAATATGGAACACCTCACAAATTTGGGTGTCAGCCTTGCGCAGGGGCCCTGCTAATATCCGTATTGTTCCAATTTTAGTATATGTGCTGTCGAAACGAGCACTGGTCTCCTGTATAAATCTGCAAATAAAATATGAAATAATTCTTATGAGTCCTTTCTATATGTAACTGACAGAAGTAATAAATTCAAGTGATAAATCTTGAATTGTTAGCATGATTAAACACATAGTTCTTAATTGTTCCCTTTAGGACTGCATTAAATCTTCATAGGAATTCTTTGTGGGGCTTAATCTATAATCTTGATTTACTTGATCTCAACTCCTTTTTTATTACATTTGAAAGAAAACCTGTATTACAATTAAGATTAGTAGTAAAATTTGCAATGAAAAAATATTCCAGAAAATCCATACTTAGCACCAGGTTGCAGAAAAAAATATAATATTTCAAGTTATCCAATGGGAGAAGAATTCATAAAGTTTCATTTTAAGCTTTCTTATATCATAACACCTAAAATTACACTAATAGTGAACAGCTATCTTTTTCATTTTATCAAAAGTTTATCAATAGTCTTTTCTTGTATATGTTGATTTTTAGATGGCTATATGTGAAGGACAATCTTATTAATTATTGGATAATACAGGTCTGATAACTTCTTGATTATTATTCTACTGCTTGTCTCAGAGCAAGGCCCCTTTTAGGCAAAGTCACAGTAGTTCTCCCTTGTGTGCATGACTCTTAGCACTTTTGATAATATTTTTTCAAAAATAAAGTTTTAGTATTTGTGTGCTAACTTGGTGCTTCTATAACTGTGTGAAACAGTTTTTGTTGTTGTATTCAGAGCATCTCCAGATCGTTCTATTCTATTCACTGAGATCATATGGTCAATTTGTTGAAAGTAATTAACCTGTACTCTTGTATTCCAATCATAGTTCCTTAGGGCAGGGCTTCAGACACTCTTTTCTACTGGTCAAAATATAGGTAAGAGTTGATTTTGGATTAATTTTGAAATAATTTGGGGTCATAATGCATTCAGAAAATTTTTCTATTGCCAGAATTTCTTTGTGACCCCACATTCAATACATTTTAAGACACCTTAGAAAATCGATTGTTAAAGCTGCAACATAATGCCCTTAACTTCTTTTATTTTTTCTTGTTTTTTCCTTCCTTTTTTCTTTATTTCCTATATTTATTTTTCTTTCTCTCTTCCTTTTCTCCTTCCTTCCTTCCTTCCTTCCTTCCTTCCTTCCTTCCTTCCTTCCTTCCTTCTTTCCTTCCTTCCTTTCTCTTTTTCTTCCTTTTTGTCACACCAGGTGATGCTCAGGGATTACTACTGGCTCTGTACTCAGGATGTACTCCTGACCATGCTTCAGGGACGATATACGATGCTGGGGATTGAACTAGGGTTGGCCACATGTGGGCAAGTGCCCTAGCTGTTGTACTATTGCTCTGGCCCCTTAAATCCTTTTAATGACTTCAAGTTTTGGGAGAATGTGAATCTTTTCCCACTATTATCTTACATTTTTTCTCATGCTGCAGTTATCAAGCCATGTAAAGATTATTTCCTGAGATAAAAAAAACCTCTTTCCTTAATATTTTAAATAACTTTATTAAGTCCTCAGTTAAATTACTGACATTCAATCTTCCAACACCAATCCCACTACTATTACACCTTCAAACCACTATCATTTCCAAATTTTCCAACCACCCTTTAAGGCTGCTCCTATAGTAGACCCTCAAAAATTTATTTTATATTGCTTGTTTTAAGAGATTTACCTAAAAGTATAATTTAAAAAATCTTTCCTCAGAAGAAAATAAGAGAAAATTGTTGTGTCTCACCATGGAGCCATTAAGTCCTTGTATAAGAGATTACTAAAAAGTTGTTATAGATTAAGCTTTCTGTGCTTGTATTTTGCTAATTTAGACTGGTTACCTCCTACATTGCATCCCATCCAATTTGGTGTGTTACTTCTGGTTTATCATTGTTGTAGCATTTGAGATGTTGTGCATTTGTGAATGCAGCCACATGCTCCAGGAATCCTAAATTTTTAGTGAGGTGATACAGCTAGAGTTACATTTTTAACTGGGTTGTGTCTTTGGTGCATGTGCATAACTGCCAGGGCTTCTGGAAGTACAGGGAAATGGGGGGTGGGGAAGTAACCCATCCCAACTCTGTGAAAACCTGGAAATTTCAGTCACAAATTGCTCATACTTCAGTTTTTCAACAGATTAATTTCTGGATGAGACTCTCCCAGAACAGTGGATTTCAGCCAGGAGCATGGTGGGGGATTGTGGAGTGTGGAAGTTTTCAGCTGCCAGGGCTCTGTTTGGGCAGGCACTGGGTTGATCCACTCCTCGGGTCTTCACAGCTGCAGTCCTGGAGTATGCCGAGGCTATGACAAATGAATGCACAGAAACAGCCAGAACCACAGTCCAGAAATGGGGAAATCAGAGAAAAGGCACCTGGCAGGGAAAGATAGTCACCACGGTGAGGCATGGCCAGCCGTGGGCCACTTATGATGACTCTGGAAGCCTCCTTGAAGTTCTTGTATTCAAGGAGTTTGATAAGGTAAGCAATTATTTAAAAAAATACAACCCTCACATTCCGCAGTGTATTACAACAAAAGGGTGTTTATTCATCTAAAATATTAATTTTACCAAAATTTTTTTGCTTATTTTAACAACTCCATTAAGAAAAGTAACCAATAATCCTGCTAAATAAGCAGTACTGTGCCATTTATTACCTTTTATCTCTTGTAGGCTTCCTTTTACGTACATCAAAGTATATCTTTCCTTTTATACATTCAAGTAACAGTAAATATACTTACCCCTACCTAATAATTTAAACCTCCATTAACTAGGAGAAGATAAAATTCAGCATCATTTTTTCTGTGAATAATTTTATACATTTACCTTATTCAAAACATACTAATAGCCCTTTTATAGATATGTTTAATTGTTTTGTAAATAGTCAAAATGCAAACAAGCTAGGGCCAGAGCTAGTACAGAAGACAGGGTCCTGCCTTGCATGTATCTAACCCAGGTTTGATCACAGGCATCCCATATATTCCTCCAAGCCCACTAGGAGTGATCCCTGAGCACAGAGAGAGAAGTAAGTCCTGAGCACTGCTAGGTGTGGACCAAAAACCTAAAAAGAAAGTGAACTAATAAATAATGACAAAAATTCATGTCAGATTTCTTTTTTGGTCGGTACACCTTTTGGGAATTCACAGTTTTTGAAAAATACTGATCTTTCAATGCTTCAGTCAATTTTAAAGGGAGAATCCAATTATTTGAATTATTTGAACTTGCTGAATATGGGCCAGAAAGATGGCACAACAGAACGAGTGCATGCCTTGCAGGTACAAGACATGGAATTGATCATCAGCTGCACTGAGAATGACCCTGATTACAGAGCTAAGAGTAACCCCCTAAACACCACCTGATTGGGACACAAAAATTTTAAAATACCACAGAAGAGTAAAATCTAATTTTTGAACAAAAGGTGAAGTACTAAAAATTGCATCAAACTCCAAATTCTATTAATCAGAACAAATCATCATTTATATTCTCTTCTTGAAATCGATTTTCTTAAAATATGACACAACTGAGTACATCTCATAATAAGGAAAAACTAGGCTTTTATTTAATTTATGTTTATATATCTTATTATATAGCAATAAGTTAGTATTGGGATACTGTGAGTGAAGTAAGAATGACAGGAAAGACACAAGCCTAAATATTTTCAAAACAACACTCTGTCTTTGGTGGAAGACATACCTTGATCTTTTGGGAAATTTTTTAAGTGAGGCTTCAAAAATTCATGATTTCATCTTTGGTTTATAGAGAATGTATATTCTGTTTCTTTAGATTCATCTGGGGAAAATGAATATATTTCAGTAGAATAGACAACTGAAATGCTCTATTTCTTTGACCTTTAAAATATTTTCAACTATGAACAGCTGGTCATCCTGCCCCTTTCCCAGAAGCTGCATAGACTGTAAACAGGAGGCAAAGTAGAATTGCAGCCAATCTAATTATGGAATATTGAAAAGGTCAAAGCACTGCCCTGGGCTACAAAATACTAAGATATTCATTTAAAAGAATGCCAAATGTCCTAGCTATTAAATGGAAGAACAGTTACTTATATTTCTTATAGAATTAGTACTTAGAAAATCTATCTCATACATAAATTTCTGATCTAACAAAGTGCTACAATGTTATTAAAATTGTCCACAAAAGCAGTGATGACATAGGAAGTGGCAGTATCTGCTAACATTTAGGATAATTTCTCTTATGCCTAACACACTATGGTAGCTTCTGATTAGGATTCAGAATTCTTATCAGTATTATAAAATTGGACCTAATATAGGGTTTAGTTCTTATGCAATTGCAGAAATTGATAACATTTCAATGGAACACTGTTCCCTCTATAAAGTTGCTATAATCAGTAGTACAAGTAGCTGGGCATAATGGCTCAACATAAAACAGAAAGAACATGAACAAACTAGAATTCCTGGGAACTTGATAGAACAAACAAGAACAAACTACAATTCATGTCTCTCTCTCTCATCACCACGGTTCCCAATAGCAATGGCAACTTCCATAATGAATTGATGCCCACATCATAAAATGTTACGTACATTTATTTATTAAGACTTGAAAAATTTGATGGTAGAGATCCAGAGGACATGAGAGGCTATTGGGACCAGCTGAAACCCCATTCCAACTAGGTAACCCAGCAGATCAGAACACGTACAAAAACTTCAGGATAGAATCCTACACCAACCTTCAGAATGTGGATGATTTCTAGTTCACTCCTACAGACTTTGTCCAAATTACTATTGGTATCAACTTAAAATCAGACCTATGTAGAGTTCAAGTGTAGGTGAGTTTGGCACAATATAAAACTACCATGTCATGTAAGCATCTTCTAAAGTGCTTGAGAGAAGTAAGCAAAATATATGTTATATTTATGTAACATAAACAATTTTGGGGTGATATAGATGAGAATAGAATTTTATAGATTCTGTCTTCTTAAGAGATGGATACATTCTATTTGAAAGTGCTTGAAAAGTTATTATAATAAAGTTCAGTAACATAACT